ACCGAGGAAATCTCTTTGATTTTGAAGTTATGAACTCAATAAAACCTGTTAATGTATTTCTTTTATAAAAAAAGTTTATAAAAAGTTATAGGTAAGTTATAAAAAAGTTAAGTATGTATAAATATATACTTAAACAGTTTTCGTTGTGCGATAAAACAGCAAATTTTCGGCAAAAAACTATTATCACAGGATCCTGGTGACGGAAAAGTGGTTAAATCCACTTGCTAGATTTAGGAGGAAATACATCTAACACGTGGTGTAGCCAGAATCCCTGTTTTGTGGGTCCTTAATACGGAAAAACCAATTGACGACAGAACGTCCGTCTGTAAATCCCACTAGCACCTAAACCATATGTACGATTTTTTCTAAAATGAATATTCCCCCGTCGAACTGGTGCCACTCAAGGCGCTGCGATTTTGGAAAAGTTTTCTTCGAAATTGGGGGGACTTTACATGAAGCACCCCGGACATTTTCAAAATTGTCTCAAAAACGACTTCAAATTGTTTTTTTTAATTGCTTGTAAGAATACAGTAAAACACACGTATAAAAATGGCATAGGTCATATTTTCAAAATTAACTCTGAATTTTTGAAAATTGAAAATTGTGAAATTTTTGCGGTGTCTTCCTACAACTACAAAACTGAAGATAGAGATTCTCCTTTCAATTAAAATTTGTCAGTTTATTTATTAAGGTAATTTCATTTTTTGAAAATGTTAGCAGATTTCCGCAATATTGAGTGCAATATTTGGAATTAAAAAAAATAACGAAAACAAGATTTTCTCAAAAATCCCTCCAATTTTTTTCTTTAAATTTTCGTTATCGATAGTGCTAAATATGCTCTATAATATGAGATAAACGCCAAGTTTCTCTAATCTTTTGCTTTTTTCAAAATTTACAAAAATTTAATTTTTTAAACTTGTCTCTCACGTCGGTTATATTTACATTAGCGGCGATTAGTTCGCATTATTATATTTATGAGTATGTATGCTTTAAAGTCGTCAGGATCACAAGCTAGTCGTCAGGACCACAATTGCAAAATTGCAAAATTGCAATACTGCGTCACCAGGTACATGACGCGTCTGCCAGACAGCTGAGAGTGGTGAGAGCGGGCGCTCTGTTGAAAGGCCCGCTGAGCTAGGTCGCGCAGCACCCCTCTGGCCATCTGCCGGCGCATAGGCCCTCAGCGCCCTCAGATGACAACTCCGGTCAATAACCCCTTCTCAACAGTTTTCTATGAGCATTACCGTTGATACGCCCGTGAACTTCAACGACTCGTTACCACAATGGAAACGCCGTTCTCGTCAAGGAACAGTTCAATCACTATGGTCGGAATATTAATCTAGCGGATATGCTATCACCGGCGTCCTAAGTTCATAATACCCGGAAATTTGCATAAATGCATCTACCTTGTTAACGCGACTGCAACATTTTACTACTCGGCTTGGAGATGGCCCAATCGCGGTACTTTACGCCCTTCATCGCATTTTTGGTGGCCGTCTCCGTGGCCGGTCTTTGTCTGCTCAGGTTAATGAGTAGGCCTGACATATTGTGGGTAGGTCTTCGCTGACGCCTCAGCCGTCATCACCTCTCCTGCCATAAACATGTTAACTTGGAGCTCTCCCGGCGCCGAGGCGTCTTCCCAAATGCGGACCGGGGAGCTACTTTTTTTGCTCAACCTCCTTTCCTAACGCTTGCGCCTCAGAAAAACCGGCTCTTCTTATTGGCCAACTTAATATCACTTTAATATTAATATGTAATACATCAGAATATATTTGTGGAATATTACAATACCATTATACTTAATAATTACTATTATATATTTTGCGATAGATTTCGATTCGATTTTTTGTGAAAACTAGCTAAAAATTCCACGTTTGCAGAAACGCTCCAACGCTATTTTCTCAAAAATTGTTCCAAATATTTTCTTAACACTTTTTCAACGGATAGTACTAGTTACACTCTTCAATATGACATAATTTTTTTTTTTTTCAAAAATACACAAATGTAATTTTCTTGAATGATCTCTCACGCCGTTAATATGCACTTTCTCAGCAATTTTTAAACTCTATTGTAGCGTAACACAATTATATTTGTGAGTTAAAGTGTTTCAAATGACTTCTAATGAAGATTTTCGAAAACTCAAAACGTTTCTGTGAAAAAGAGCTTCATATTTCAAATTTACAGTAATGCTTAACGCCATCTTCTTAAAAATGGCTCCAAATTTTGCCAATAAAATTACGATTTAGGACGAGGCTTTACTGTTCTTTAATATTCTTAAAATACTATTTCCGTTCCATTATTAGGAAACCGAAATTTAAAAAAATAATTACTTTGGGTGGAGATAAATGACAGCTGGCAAGAATATGTGGCAAGTCTGAATAGCTATCCAAGACGAATGGAAATGGAAAAATAATACGGGAAAGTCGGTGCCATTCTGTAACACTCCTAGTTTTCAAAATACTTGAAGAATTAATAATTTTCGAAAATTCACAGATATTAACCACACCTGGAGGCTTTTTACAAGCGCACAGTTCTCTATT